CACTTTGAACCAAAATAAAAAAAAAATTAAAAAAAAAAAAAAAATATATATATATATATATATATTTCATGAATTTTGGGACACACCTTGTACCTCTTACACCATGTTTGTTTGCTAGTTGTTTTGATTTCTGTGCCATGTACTTCAATGCTCTAAATTTATTTTCAGTTCAGTAGGTGATTCTGCTGTTTGGCAGCGCTGCTATTTTGATTGTTTCAATATCATGTCTTGACCTCATCTCTCAACTACTGCACAATTTCAGACTCATAATTTTGTATGCAACTATCAGTTATTTTTTGACTGCAGTGTGGACCAAATTTCACATTTAAAATATAAAAGGTCTTCTGTGAGGATTTTATTTCCCACATTATTTTCTCTTTTGCTGGATACTTACTGACTGACCTACCAACCATCAGTCGCAATGTGACTTTGACTTAAAATGTTTCAGTTCTCAAGTGACAGTGACAGACAAAGTGGAGGGTCCAGGACGGTTCAGCAGTTGAGAGTACAAGGACGAGAATGGAGTGTGTGACTCAGTGAGACTGTGCTAGTTTGTGCTGAGATCCATTGCCAGGAGACTACTTGTGAAGACTGAGAATCCTAGTGCATGTGCAACAGTGAAATGGAAAGTGTGTAATCAGCGATAGCGCTGTATTTCCGGTATTTAAGTGTGATTAAGAGAGGCTGTAACCAAAGTGCCAATAAATTCAATCATCTGAACTAGAACCCGTCATTTTCGTCGGTGCGTACCACCCTACACGTAACAATACATAGGGTATAAATGACACAGCATATATACAAGCAATAGATGTAATCCACTTTATAGTAAAACCCATAGGGAAGATTTTCATATAATTTAAATGTCACTGTAAAGTGAGAAAAGCTGTGACAATACAATATAATTTGTAGCTTTATTTAAGTGTAAAGCCTCTTGAAGAGGCACATGCCCAGTGATGATCACAGTTCAGATTCAAAAGATATACCTTTCATGAGATTAATACCCTCAAGGGTCACAAAGAGCAACCCGATTTCTTCATCTGTAGTACTATGGACTGGCAGGCCTGTTTTGTAGATGTTCTCATCACAATCTGCCAAGGCATGGATAAGGTTCAGTTCTGCGCACCTACAAAGATCCGTATAAATGGTCACGCATATACAATGCAGATACATTGTGCTTCTAAACCATTTGTTGACTGACGATTATTGCAGAATTAAACCTGCTTAAAACAGAATCCCAAGGGATCTGAATATTATTCCATTTCAGACGGTAGTTTGTTTAGCATGGGCATTTATTTCTACATAAATGATTTTACAGTTTCCCCATATATTTATACCTAAATCACAAATGAGAACTTCATCCCGCATATATACACCTGTTCAATTTTTCTTTCCTTCCTTCCCTTTCTATCCATGAAAGCAGAAAACTTTTTGAAGAAACGCTTCTCTTTTCCATGTTCAGTCTTAATCCTTCCCCCACCTGTGGCAGGAATATTCTATCTCAGATAAACTCCAGGAAGCACAGGAGAAAAATATATGTATAAGATTCTAGCAGCTGACTACTTTCCTTTAAAATATTATTTTTTCCCCTTCTTACTTGTATTAAATAGTTTTCTTTTGTTATAAGTACTTTATGTTAGTTTTCACTCTTTATTAATAGGACAAAATAAATTCTCCAAATAAATTTCTACTTAACCTGAATTCCATTTTAGACAGGTTTTACTGTAGCAAAGTTAAATTCTATAATGTATGCTTTTTTCTGAGTTACTAGGATTCATTTCACTGTATGCTGAAAAATTTACCCCACTTCTTTGCAGTCCTTGATGGAAGATTCCTCTTCCAAGGGTTCGCTTACAATAACGAAACGCAAGATATTTCTATGGTCTGATGCTGGCTTCAACATTGCTCGCAACTTATTGCGTTGTACTGCATGTTCTTCCTTATCCACATAAAACACTGAAATGAAACACAAGTTACCATTCTCAGGATTATAGCCACATAATGTAGGGTTCCCAGGCCAGATGCACTTCTGCGAGCTGTTTATTTATTTATATGCAACTTGCTTTACAGCAGTCAGTAGCTCACTATATTGTGGCGTATTTGATCAGTGCATTTCCAGGCAACAACTATGTAAACACATCAATCTCATCCTTCATTTAGTCACACTAAAATATTAGATGAAACATATAAATTGCAAAGTACCATATTTACGCATGTATAGGCAGCACATTTTTTGCCAAAAATTCAAGAGGAAAACTGGGGTGCGGCTTATATTTGAAATATTCGAAATCACACTTCATTTAAAACAGATAAACGTTGCCAATTTTCGGAATAATTTCTACTCCTGAAATAATATTCCAAGAAAATTATTTTTTCTATAATTTCTGTCTGAAAATTGTGCTGCGGCCTATACACGCACACGGCCTATACATGCATAAATACGGTAATTCATTATACAGTTTTATCCCTTCTTATTTTCCCTTTCTAAGTACAAATATTCTACTTGGTACTTTGTTTTCTATCATCCTTTTTCTGTGGTCTTCCTTCACACCCCTCCAGAAAGTCAGAGTTAAAACTGTAGTTTTATGTATTTCAGTCTTCATGTGTATAGTTGAAGATAGAATATTCTGGACTGAATGATGGGACATATTTCACAAATCCATTCTTAGTTTTATGTGAATGTAATTTTAATTTCTTACTCTTGTTCTTGGTTACTGAACTTCTCACATTTACATATAATTTATTGGTAATTATTACATGATGAATTAACCTAATAATGAGACATACTACCAAGGCGTAGGTGGGTGAACAATATTAAAATGGATCTTAGAGAGATAGGATGGGATTGTATTGATCTGGCTCAGGATAGGGACCAGTGAAGGGCTCTTGTGAACATGGTAATGAACCTTCGGGTTCCACAAAATGCTGGGAAATTCTTGAGTAGCTGCAGAATTGGCGGCTCCTCCAGAAGAGCTCAGCTCCATGAGTAAGTAAGTAAGTAAATGAGACATACTAATTTCTACTATATTTATTTGTAGACCATTATTCTTAGTAGCTTTGGCAGTAGATATACTTCAAACATTGGTACAATGGCATACAGTTCAGTGATATGGTAGGCATATGAGGCAGTATAATTCTCAGTTCAATATGATTCACAAGAATTTGGAAACATTTTGAGGATCAAGGAGAGAACAAGAAATGTCTCAATCATGTCATCTCCTTTACTGTTATCACAATTTATAAGACTAATCACTTTTTCACAGAGCTCTGAAGTTTAATACTTATCCCATTTTATGTCAGATCTTTTCTCAGTAAACAATTTCCATTAAGTCACTTGATTGAAAAACAATTCAATTCTAGTGCCATATTCTTTTCCATCGTGGGCAGAAAGACAAGTGGATTCATGCTAGTGTTTCCATACATTCTAATTCTGATGAATTTGGATGTGTGCAAAAAGAAAAGGTAGATAACTGAAAATTCTTGAGATTCAAGAATGTAAAGTTAATGTCAAATCAAGATTGATTTTTTTCTCTAGTTTTCATTAAGAGTTTGAGACTTGCTCATGCTTAAAGCAGAGAAACTGAAGATCATGTTGTATTAATTTTACGGCTTAAAATTATCACATACACTTCTACACTGTGAATTTAATGCAAAATTAATATGGATAAGGCTCAATATTTCACAGAATGTGCTCTAATCATTTTGGTTGTACACACTTACACTTTCTGAAGTTGTATAGAAGATGGTTTTCAGGAGAGCACGGTTTCATCACAGCAGTTGGCGTTTCAAGGTCTTGGCCATGGAAACCCAGAAACTGATACTCTACATACAGCTGTGTGATGTCTGGGTCCTTCATTACAGAAGAGTCTTCAATCAAAGATAAAGAGTTGATAGTTACAGCAATATGATCCTGTAACATGACAGTAGGCTTCAGTTCTTAAATAATATAATATCTTCTATTAAGCATTGGCCAAGTGGAGCTAGCCCCAATTTAAACTACTGAAAGCAAGCATTATAATAGGTAGTATTACTTATGGATATGTCTTCAGGGATAACTTTATAATACAGCCATACTACGTAATACCTGTCTTGACTTTCTGCTGTCAGATGTTTCTCTATCTACTTGTATAGAATCCGGAGGAATATCTTCTGTACAACTTCCTTCAGGATTACCTTCCACAGGACCTTTCTCTCCTTCAGGAATATCTTCTGCAGTGCCTTCCCCAAGCTTGTCTTTGGTGAAAACTTCTTTAATATTAACTCTTACATGAATGTTTTCTTCAGGTTGAACTTGATCTTCTGTAAAGCAGAGATCTTCAACATCAGATGGGGGGGGGGGGGAGACCAGTATTGCTTTAGTATGCTGCGTGGCCTGAGCTCACAGTATCAATGCCAAAGTGTGCTGCCTTCTGGGATGTAATGCCATGCAGTCTGGTAGACATTCACTGATGTTTCAGAGAAGCATACTGCCTCCATCTTCAGGGTCATCACAGACTTTCTGCATATATTTTGCTGGTTGCAAAAGATGGAGGCTGTACATTCCGACAAAATGTCAGTGAACTTCTACTGGCCTACATGGTCCCACATCCCAGAAATCACGCTGTACGGACCACAAATCTGACATGTCAGTATTTTTCAATCTGAGGTTTATGAATTACAAACAATATGCAGTGGTATATTAATGCCATCCACAGAAAGCATGATGTTAGAACTTTCATTACACATTAGAAAGTAATACTACTAAAGATCAACAGATAAATAAGCATGCACACATACACACAAAACTAATTCTATGGAGCTACTCAAAAATTTCACAACATTTTATGGAACCATGTCACTGGTCCCTATCCTGAGCCAGATTAATCTAGTCCATACCACCCCATCCTATTTCTTTGAGATCCATTTTTAGCCTACTTTCGTCATTTTGAAAAAAAAAAAAACTTATAGGATGAACTTGCTGTCTTTGTGTCTGTGTCCTCCACCCCCATATTTTTTTCATTTTTTATGTGATCTCTGTCTCATCAAAGAGAAGCAGGTGATTAGTTCTTCGCAGAACTTCTTGTAATATTATCCTCCCACCTACATCTAGTTCTCCCTGGTGATCTCTTTCTTTCCAGCTTCCCACCAAAACCCCACAGGCATTCCTTTTCTTCCTCATGCATGCTACATACCCTGCCCTTCTCATTCTTTGTGACTTGATCATTCTAATTACATCTGGCAAACAGTACAAATTATGAACCTACACATTATGTGATTTTCTCCAACCTCGTATTCTTTCATTCCTTTTTGGTCCAAACATTCTGCTCAGCACCCTGTTCTATATATATATAAAATAGTAGGTTTATATCATTGTGAAATGCAGACTTTTACTTTGAGCAATGAATAAATTACAGATGTCTGAAAATAAATTGCTTATGAAGCATGAAGTAAGTGAGCAGTTTATGATATTACATAATGAAGAACTCTCTGATTTATATTTATCATCACTTAGTATTGCTGGAGTAATATAATCATGAGGAATTCCACCTTCTGGGATGTGGCACCATGTACATCTTGTGTGAACCAAAATTTTGGAGGAACGTATCACCTCCATCTGCAGGGTAGAAAAATCTACAAGTGAGGAATCAACATTGAGAATGTGGCTGCCTCTCACCTGCTCATGCTGGTTCCTCATTCACAGATTTTTCTACCCTGAAGATGGAGGTGATACGTTTCTCCGAAACGTCAATTCACACAAGATCTACATGGCGTCACATCCCAAAAGACGACATTCTTCACAGTTACTGTCATGAAAACCTCAAATCTTATTTATTTTAGATCCTTTACATCTCTGCAATAAACAGTTCTTTCATGATAAGATTCCTGTATGTCTCAATTTGCTGATATTTTTCGTACATTTACCTGTGATACTGTTATGAGGTGTTATGCTAGAAACCAGACGACTCATCCCAGTAGATGTCTGTCCCTTTTTCTGTCTTGGAGCAGGAACAGGAACTTTTGCTCTTGTAACCTGATAACAAATTCATTGCTTAAATACAAGGGAAAAAATCAGGGAAACATGTAAAAAAAGTATGAGGTCACTTATTTGGTCTTCTACAACCCCTTTCCTCTTCTGTCCCTCTGTTATTGCCATTATATGCTTACTGAACTGTACAGCAAAAACTAACCTACTCCAAGAAACTGCAAACTGAGAATAAAAGCCTGGATTACATGACTCATGAGAAGTAATATGGCCTTAAAGTGGCAAAAGTGGAATAGGAATGGGTGAAAATATGTCAAAGGCACAACCTTTAAGAAGGTAAAGCTATCCCTGTAACAGGCTGTAGAGGCCTATAGGACTGTCACACAGCAAGGCTCCCACATTTTCTAGACACTTGGCTCACAGATGGCAGTGAGGTTGTCAGGCTTATGCACCGGCTGCCATTTACCCCCAGGGAGATTCCTGGTACTCATTTCTGCTACAGGCTCGGTCAACCTCAGGGCCATAATGTGGCTCGAAGGATTAGGTCAATTGAAAAATCCAATGATCTCATTGGTAATCAAACTCACGACCTTTCAGCTTGTAGCATAGTGCTTCAAACAACTACGATGACCTTTACAAAGTAAAATGCAATTGTCCTGCAGAAATTTGTGGGGTTACTTTCACAGCATTCTAATATTTGTAACATTCAAATCTACTTACTAGCAGTCCTTGTGTTTCAAAATACTATATGAAGGCAAGTTTCATTCCTTGTGATAATTTTATACAATCACAAAATCACTCTGGATATGATCAACACCATTTCTCTGACAAGGCATATTTCTGAACAGCTGCAATGATTTCTGTGACAGCTGAGTTGGACACACTGCAATGGGTGGGGATGTGTGTTCTGTCACCCTGTACTTTAGATGTCTGAAAAGAGGAACACTTGACCTTTGACCTTTATAACAGAGTTTCTTATAGACCTTCCAGATTTCTGAATTTTGAAATCTGACTCTTGAAAGTGTCCTTCAGTTATGCCATGTTGTTAACTGTGTATAACTGAATCTGTCCTCCCCCCAAAAGTGGCATGTCTCAAGTTCTGAAACTGAAAGCCTGGCAACTGTAACAGAGAAGAAATTCCTGCCCACCTGATTATTTGTGTGCATGTAATATACTGATGCTGATACTCATGTTGAACCTCCAACAGCTTCACTCCTTCACTCTCAGCTCAGTAAACACTAAATTACCTTCTTTGTTGTTCTGTGCTGGATGAAGCTGTCAATAAGACTAATGGAACAACTCAGTATGAACCAGCACTCGAGGATTCCAAACTCATATACGGTGTCACAGCTTCTGGTCCCTGCCAATGGGACAGTACTGTGAAACTTCTTTTGTGGAAATCTGAGCAGGTCTGAGAAGTGAAGGGAACCCGTGGCCACAGTTTCACTTGCATCATCAACTGCCATATGAACATCAACAGTACAACTTTCCTGTACACCCAAAGAAGAATATACTGGATTACAATCTTACTTACTTACTTACTTACGTATGGAGCTGAGCCCTTCTTGAGGAGAAGCCAAAACTGCAGCTACTCAAGAATTTCCCAGCATTTTATAGAACCTGAAGGTTCATTACCGTGTTCACAAGAGCCCTCCACTGGTCCATATCCTGAGCCAGATCAATCCAATCCATACCATTCCATCCTATCTCTCTAAGATCCATTCCCCACCCACCCACGCCTGGATTACAATCACAACCTGAAATTGTATTTACAACAAATAAAGTAACCAAGTCTACTCTCTCATCTCTATAGACAGATGAATATTGTCATTCTCAAAATATTTATAATTTATTTATGAATCCTGAGTTTGTGTTCCATGTGTGTCAGTTTTTGCCATTACATCACATAATTTTTACAGTAGGTTACATTTAACACATTAGCACCAATAACCACACCTATACTCTCTTGTACATGGGCATGATCACAAATTATGTTTTCTTCATTTACTTTCTCATTAAGTTAGAGCAATACACTTGTGTGTCCCATGAGTAGCCATGAGTAGCCAAGACACACATATTGGTTGAGAAACAAGAACAGCATCTGTCCTCAGTTTGTCAATCTTGTAAAACTTATTATCAGAAACATAATTTGCATTAAGTAGTAACTGACTTGACTGAACTAATTTTGGTCCACATCCATAGTTGTGTAAATCCTATCCTTTTACTCACTGCACTTTAAAGTGCATTAAACTCATCTACAGTTTCTCTTACCTCTTTTAAATATTGAAGAAACCGATCATTTACAGTAACCCTATGAACAGAAGAACTGTCAAATTCAATACAGGTTTCAGCTGCCTTCACCGGTGTATATGCCACATCTTGATCATAAAATTCCCATGTTAAGAATAGAGAGGTAGGTTCCTTGTCCTTATATACAGCACCAAAGGGCTGAAATATTAAATGCTACTAAGCATTTCACATCGTTATAAAGAGCAGATGATAATCACTAACTGTCAGCACCACTTGAAAAATATGACTTTCTCCTTCCCAAGGCAAGATAATTTTGTGGGCTGGCAAGAAGAAATTCATATTAATAATTTATATCAGTGGTTCAAAAGCATCATTTATCTCTCTGATGTGAGAATGTCTATAAGCAACAACGTAAACTGATAATGAAAACTATAAATTTTAACTTTATTTTAAGTATTAATTTAACATATTTCAGTGATTGAAAAGGACCCCAAAAGTTTCTTGTAATTCTATGGGAGAGAAAAAATCCACTGCAATCCCTTATTGTTATTTATGATTATTCTTCTGTAGTACTTCCATTCCCATATTTTTGAACAGTTTTTGTAAGTGTGTCTGATTTTATAAAAGGAACTCATTCATAAGAATTGATACCTCTTCTTTCTCAAAATACGATAAATAGTCATTTATATTGCCAATTCTGAAATTCACCGTGATATGTTAGTACAGTGACAACAGAAGTGTTAAATTCTTACATGTAGCCACAAAAAATGTAACTAGTCTTGATATGCTTTGGAGTGGTATCAATTTTTAGTTTGGCAAGGAGGCCAAGGCATAATTTCCAGGCCTGGTAAGCGCTGATGTAGTCATACATTATTGACTATTAATTTACTAACTATTTTTATGAAGAATTTTGTTTATTAAATGTGCCTTCTACTACTTTATGTAACTTAGGCATGTACCCTGAAACTTAGACATGCATGACAGATGAAATACTACATAATTTGAATCAAAAAAGAAGAGGTATTTTTTCACATTATAGTCTTCTGGGAAGTGATTCCATGTAATCTTGTAGCAATGTGTCAACATTTCAGAGGAACCCACTCCAGCCATCTTCAGAGTGAACTGTACCCTGAAGAGGAGGCAGAACTTTCCTCCAAAATATACAACTTCACATCCCAGAAGACTGTAATGTTAATATTCACCAGCAAGAGAACATCAAATCCCCAAAATATTTCATGACTGACGTTAAACCTGAAGTGTATTCACATTCTTGCATGTAGAACCCTGTTTATTGAATTGAAGAGGAAAATTATGTGTTGAAGTGAAAATGATGTTTACTGATCTCAGACCAGAAATGAACAATTCATTACTTTTATCTGAGTGCAAGAAGTGAGTCTGTATGATGATAAAGAATACTTACTCATTATTCGTAAGCAGTAATATTTACTGCTTACTGTAATGCTAGTATATTTATGATTAATTCACAAACTTGAGAATAAGATTTCTGTATTAGCACACTCTTAAATATTATGAGATTTACTTCAGCCAGTTGTCTTCCACATTTAACATACCCCAGATCAAATTCATCAATCATTTCAAAACGTTTGGGCTGTCTTCATCACTGGACTGGAATCTGATTTTCCATGTGTCACACTAGGTCTTTAGACAACTTGGAGGCTCACAAAATGGTAAACTACAAGAGACAAAGGAGCAGAATGGCACTTCAAAGGACATTAGATTTAATCTGAAATGGCTGATTTCCCAAAGCTATAACTGATCTGTATTAGTTCATCACATTTGTAAAAAGAGGCTGTATTTAAGCCATTCTGTACAATGCAATGGTTTCTGCTATCACAGCCAGTGTATTTACTAACACAAGAATCATTTCTTCCTGCTGACTTGGCACATGTGTCTTTATCTACATGTGCAGCCATATATGGCAGAACAGTCAAACTGAGGCAGGTAAGATAATTAGCAGCATGTCACTCTCTGGTTTTCAACCTCCATCCATATACTTCATTAACAAGCATATATGCCTATACTCATGTCAGTTTCAAACCTTGCATTATTTAAAACTGTCAATGACAAATAGATTTTGTTAAAATGCAGGAAACTGGAACCAAGTATTTGTTAATTTTTATATCAACTGCAAAATCAGCAGGTACATAAATGTCTCACTTCATCCATAAGGCTTCCTAACCCTTCTGGTGAGAGCTTCAAACATTGAATGTGGATTTCAAAAAGGCCCTCCCCAACTCCTATTGTAAGCTGGCCAGTATCGTGAGCTGTGTGATGAATTTCAGATGTTTTCAGGCGGCTCTGAAGCTCAGTAATGTGTGCTGTGTACTTCTGCAGTAAATTGGACATTTCATCTATTTTCTTTGCATGATCATCCTCATTTTGATTCAACTGCTGGGCAAGACCTGCCACCTGCAAGGGAGACAGTATGTGTTTGATAAATATCGATAAATAATAAATTAACCTTGCAATTGATGTCAGTCACTTTAACATGGAATATAACATTTTGACGTCTCAGTGATATCAAAGGATAATTACTAGTCAGTTTTATCACCTTTCTTGTGAACTGGTACAATAGAAGACTCCTCCACTGATCATGCAATTTTTCCTTATTCCAAATAGAATTAATTAGTTTATGGATCTTAGAACGTAATATTTCACCTCCTGCTTGAATAAGTTCTGACAGAATTTGATCACTACCTGGCGATTTATAACTTCTTAATTTTGCAATAGCAATTTCAACCTAAAAAGGGCTAGGATCAGTTACAAATGACTCAGCTGTACAGATTTCTGTCTGCCTAACATCACTGACCCTATGTACATTCAATAACTGAGAGAAGTAGTTCCTCCACCTATTCAAAATGTTGTGGGAATCTGCAAGCAGATCACCATTCTCATCCTTCACTAAGTTACTGATAGGCTGGTAACCCCTTTTAAAGCCAATGATTCCTCTAAACAGGTCTCTAATGTTCTTGTTTTTACTGTTCATTGCAAGCTCATCAGTTTTGTCTTTCAGATATTCCCTCTTTTTGTTCCTCAAATGCCTGTTGGTTTCACGTCTTATATTGTTTAGATTATCCCCATTTAACTCGCTTGGATCCTGTAACCATTGCAATTTGGCCTGCTTTCTTTGATCTAATAATTTTGAGAATCCTTCATCAAACCATGCCTTATGCTTCTTCAGCTCACAATAACCTAGACTCTCTTTGCCAGAAATTTGTATATTCTTTCTAATAATTTCCCAAGCTTTATTAACATCCATCTCAGTATCGATAAATCAAAGTGGCTATGTGCATGGGAAATATTAGAATATCATGTCGAGTTTTACAGAGTAATTAATGGAGCATATACAAATATCGAACATCTCTAGATAAACTTTTATGAGTTTCCATGCTGTTTTCAAGTTGTTTCATTTTTGTAATGATAAGAGTACCAGGAATTTTCCTGGGGGGTAAAGGGCAGCAGGCACATAAAGCTGACAACCTCACCACCATCTGTGAGTCGACTGTCCAGATAATGTGGGACCCTCAACATCTAACAACCATATGGGCCTTCACAGCCTGTTATAGGGATAGCTATACATTTTATCCTCATGTTTGCATGTGTCACCAATTAAAAGAACACACAAAAGTTTACCACCCAATTCATTTATAATAGCCTTCCACTTGTTATGAGCAGAACATGAATGTCAAGGTCAATGAAGTATGCAAAATTATAGTCACGTTATGTAGTCAGAACAGCTTAGCAGCTGTAGATTATATCATGCAAACTGGTCGTAGTCAAACCCTGGATTAAGAATCATCACTAAATTTACTCAGAATCTGTTCAGCCTTAAGCCACTTTTCATTAACAAATTCAGTATACTTTTGCCACTTTGGTAAGAAACTAGACTTATAAGTGCAACATAAGCATGTATACTCCAATACACTTTCCACTCCTAACAATTTTCATGTTGACAGTGCGCAGACCTTGTTCTAATGCATCCACTCCTGCAAACCACAACCTCAAACACAATGTTTCTGTTCACTCTGGTCACTGTTCCCAGGGTAGCTCCTAAATCAAATGAGACTACACTAAATCCTACAACATGATGTCATTCACCTGTGATATATGGAATTGGGAATGGCATCATCACAGGCAGAAAAGACAAATTCTGCAAGATATTTTAAAATACAATTTCTTGTACAATTCCAACCTTTGCATTTGGAAATGAAACTGAGGTTATGGAGAACAAAAACATTTCAAGCAATGGAAAGAAAATTTCAATATTACAGGCTGTGCTAAATACATCTTCATGTTGTAGTGGTTAATTAATTAAGCACAGGGGCTAGGTGAAATTATAAATGGAGACAGCATCCTCAGCCTTTCTCATATTAGGCATACTGAAACCTCTTACACATATGCAGGAGGAAACAACTATGTATTCAAAAACAGAATGAAATGGTTATTTCACCTTAACAGTCTGGCAATAAGAGAATCTCTAGTTGCTGTACATTACAAAATAAAAGGATATACAAACAAGCCATTAAGGTCACTCAAATGTGGCGTGAGCACAACCAATCAGTAATAGCAGCGGCACGCACACAGAAAGACTACACAGGATAACAACTATACAGTGTGGAAACAAGAACTAGCCACTGCAGCACTTTAAACATAGGGCGAATAACCCTAATAATTTTAAAATTTTAAAATTTGGAGAAAGAATTTGAAGGTTTTAAAATTAGAACTAAAGATTTTATTATGGTGCCATTACAATAAAGTAAAATTAACGTGTGTGAAATAATCTACGAGCCAGACAGCTATCAACGGATTGGAAGTTGATAATGACAGGGAGAGTGTCTTAGATGTTAAATTTTGAGCTGGGTGCAGTGTGACAGCGACGTGAGTGTTATACACCTGATGATGGCCGTCTGAGCCCGAAACATGTAGTGTGGGGAAGCAAGATCAGAGACACAAAATATATTGTTTGCACTTGAGACGGAGTTTATATCATTTACTTTCTGGATCCCCTGCACTAATGTTTCAATCGAAAACCAATACTTTCACCTCTTTCTTGTACATGCTGTTCAGGTTGTACTGGACCCGAAGTAATTCACGACACTTTTCCAGTTCACAGTGTTCATCCAGCTGGTTAGCAGTCATAGGCTGGTCATCACCAGGATGAGAATCCATTGTGTCCAACTCATCATTCTGCCATGAATCATGTTCTAGAATCTTCAGCCTTGATAAATCATCATTGATTTTGGAACCTTCTTCACAGACTGACTTCTCCTGAAACAAAACAAAATTATTGTTAGGATGGATTCCTTCAGGTGAATGAACACTGTACTGACTGACTAAACTAATGCAGAAGCTTGAGACAGAGCTGTAAAGGAGGAAGGAGAAGTAAGCAGTGCTGCCCTCAAAGGGTCCATACGTGCAAAAGTGAAGAGATGGGAGACAGCAGAAGGTAAATGTGGATTCAGAGGGTAACAGTGTGACAGACAAGCTGAAGAGCTCTCACGCCATCTGAACATCCAGTTCTTGAGAAGGCCACCTTCCCTTCCTGGATACTGATACTTATAGGAGAGCTGCATACTGCAAACTCAACCACACCAACCCTTGCCTGAACTCTTGCTCTGTCACAGCCCATCCAACAAGCAAGCTGTACTCTCCATCTCGGTGCATGACTGTGATGCCCTACATCATGAACTGGAGATTCTCAAAGCCACTTTCAGCAGAACAGCTACAGTGACCAGCATATTCATGTGGCTCTCTGCCCTCCTAAGAGGGTTGAGGATCCTGACTCATCGCCTTGCTACAATATCTGAGGCAAACCTTCAAATGAATTAGCAGGGTGCTGTACCTGCATAACATCAACTCATTTAATTTCCCACCAAGGGAAATTTTCAGCTTCATTTTGTTGGCCAAGGATGACCTATGATTGATGACGCTGGGAGTATACAACATCCCCTGTTGGTGTGGTTATATGTACATTGGGTACATGTTGTTGATGACACCAGGGTTAAGGAGCACCATCATGATTTTCTTTTTCTTGTGTAACAACACAGTGTGGCCCAAACAACCAGAGTCCTATTCTTCAAACAATGGAACCACGATGTGGTAGATACTCATCTTCCTTTAAAGAGAAGGAGTAAAAAGGACACGATCCAAATCGGTTCTAGATTTTAACAAATTTTTTAAACCATACATGTAAATAGACTAATTATAATAATTTATAAATATTTCAATAAATTCATGCACATCCTGGAAGTGTTAAAGGCTAATATTTTATATTCATGACTTTGTAACAGCAGTGTCTGTATGTACTGATAATGACCAATGACATTGTAATAGTAGCTTCCGCATGTATTGATATGTCCTTCTGAAGACGGTTGCTCCGACCGAAACATGCAAAGGATAAAAGATTAAAAAAAGAAAAAACCATTATCAATTGCACTAGACACTAATAATCTTTTATACTGTTAATATAATATGATTTTTTAGTTCTGTAAAAATCTAACCTGGTGGCCAATACTAAGAATCAAGTTTCAGACTGTTTGTCAACAGATATCTAATTCAATAAGGTGGACAATAATATTCTACTAATAAAATGTTCCTGTTCATACAAAATTAGTCCAAGTTGCGACATTTAACTCCTATATAATTTAGCCTCTAAGGCAGCAGCGTGCAAACTGCAGCCTGGGAGAGCATTTGTTCCAATCACTGGATCTACTGTGAGAATTCCATCTAACACACAACTGATTATTTATTTACTTCAGAACCACAGATCAGTTGGCTGGACTTTAGCTACTACACTTACAATCATTCGTTTAAATAATACTTAATGTTTTCAATTTATCTGTGTTTCCAATTAATGACAATATTGGTGTAGTGGATTTTTCTCATAATACTGACTCCACAGGGTACTGAGGAGAATATTTGGACCAAAGAGAGATGAAGTCACAGGAAGTTGGAGAAAACTGCATAATGAGGAGCTTCATAACTTGTACTCTTCTCCAAGTATAATTAGAATGATCAAGTCAAGGAGGATAAGGTGGGCAGGTCATGTAGCAAGAATGGGGGACACGAGGAATGCATATAGGATATTGGTGGGAAAGCTGGAAGGAAAGAGACCACAGGGAAGACCAAGGCGTAGGTGGGTGGACAATATTAGAATGGACCTTAGAGAGATAGGATGGGATGGTATGGATTGGATAGATCTGGCTCAGGACAGGGACCAGTGGAGGGCTCTTGTGAACACGGTGATGAACCTTCGAGTTCCATAAAATGCTGGGAAATTCTTGAGTAGCTGCAGAATTGGCAGCTCCTCCAGAAGGGCTCAGCTCCATGAGTAAGTAAGTAAGTAAGTACTGACTCCACTTACCTCCTCATTTTTTTGCAACTGTGAATCATGTTGTAATGCACTGTGATCACTTTTTGATATGAAAGTATCTTCTGTATTGGTCATCAAAATTTCATCTGTTGTTAGAAGACTAGGGTACTCTTCTTTATCAGTTATATACACCAAATTTTCACACGCATGGCAAGAACTCAAAGACTGAGAGGAAACCCTATGACAGTTGACAGCTTCCCTTTGAAGGCTTTGTTCTTGATTGGATGCCTTGGCTGAATTCTTGGATTCTGTATCTGTGATTGATGTTGCAGACAGTTTACTTTCAGAACATAACAACTGAGATGTTCGACTGTCACTTGATATGTCAGGAATGGACTCACTTGCATCAGCACTTTCTAAACCTTGGCATTTCTCACAATTCATCCTGTTTGCAGAAATATTAAAGTCTTCAGCAAATGAGGCACTGGAAGACAATGCGAAGAAACTCTTCCCAGGCTTAGAAGTCAATCTCTCATGAAGAGTTTGAGCATGTTGGCTTTGTTCTATTGTTGGAACACGTAGCAGAGAATGTGATGGCAACACAGACGAACCGCGTGGTGGAGTATGAAAACTGACATGCCTCCTTGGATCCTAGGGGGAAGGGAAACAAGCACTAACGTGGTACAATTGCAAAACATAAAGACTGGTTCTATAATAGGAATCAGGAAATAAGATGCTGTCTAAGTCTGGGTGTTTTGCACTCAGGTCACCTGCCAGCATAGATTTATTTCTAAAGCCTAATAGCTCTGTGATTTATATCGCCTTGTGTCGACCTGCACACAAAACGACATTCATCACATAGAAAACATCATGTCATGTGTTGTTTACCAGCCACTGCAAGCAACAGCTCCCTGCTTAATGACATCATCACGTTTACTATGCTGTAACCTAGTAATGGACAAATTTCTTCTGGTTTTCATGTCACAATATTGCATGCAATGAATAAAATGTCAATTTTTCATTTAAATCCATCAATTATTAGACATTATGCACTGCTAGGTAAAATCTAACGCGGTAAAGATGAAATTTAAATGCTGAGACAGAATATCCTCTAGCAGCACAGTTCTGGAGACCTCAATGCTTGGGAGCATTGCTCTTGCTTCACACTAGCCCTGGTTTCCTCAACTTTACTTTTCTCTTTTACTATACAGGGCTACTAGAATTGATTCATTCGTTTTTAAAACGCTATATTTTCCAAAGCATTACACATACAAATATGATTGATATATAAAAAGAAGCGTAAACTTACCAAGTTTTCTTTGCACTCTACAAATGTTCTATGTGTGCCCCTTGGGTCACATGACACATGTCCAGGCAGTAGTCAAGCTCGTTCCACACATTTTGTAGCATCATCCTGTCAATGGTCATCACTGCAGCATTGATACATTCCCTCAGCTCTACTAGTGTTCTTGGCATTGGGGGTATGTAAACACAATCCTTAATGTACCCCCAAAGGAAGAAGTCACAAGGCGTTAGATCAGGTGATGTGGGGGGCCAAGTGAACAGAGCTACGTCATCCTCACCAACATGCCCAATCCAGTGATGCCGAAGTTCATTGTTTAGGTAGTGATGAACATTGACGATACCACCGCAAAATGCTTTGTTTACATGGCGGTTCTTTTCCGTACTCTCTTTTGAATGCGCGTTGCACTGCTATAACAGACGAACATCTCGCATATTCCAACAAATAAAAATTCTTCTTGCTTTTTCGCCATTTTGTAAAGACACTGATCTCGTGCTGCCAACTGGTGCACATAATATACACTTGGTGAGTTTATGGTTCTTTTTATATATCAATCATATTTGTATGTGTAATACTTTGGAAAATATAGAGTTTTTAAAAAAGAATGAATCACTTATAGTAGCCCTATATTTTCTCTATGTCATTCTAAATAGAATATGCACTGCTATGTGTCTGCTGCGAAACAATCAGGCAGTGCTGGTAGGGACCTGAGTGTGAATGTGCCAACATGTCATGCAACAGAAAATGGGTTAGTAAACATCTCATACCACAAAAGAAAGAATTTCAGGAATTTACAACATTACTGAAGTGTCTACCTGCTGAACTGTTCGCAGCTGACTCTCGATCTTGGCATGTTGAGCCTGCAGGTCCTGAAATTTGACTAGCAAGTCACTGTGGGAAACTTTCAGGGCTGCTACTTGTGTCCTTTCTTCTTCAAGACTCTCAAGAATCTGCGCCCGATCACTCATCTCTTTGGCCAGTTTAGTCTCAAGTTGTGTCACCTGCCATTGTACAACAAACACACTATTTAAGGGCACATTACTACCTTAAAACAGTATATACGCACAATGCATGAAACTTTTGGGACGTGGAATGTACAGGCATAATATCTGTGATCATGTTGAATTCACTGTCAAATATATTGTTCAATATCTGCAACTCAATAGACAGCCCAGAGTCAGAAAGCTTTAAAATATGTAGTTGCACCATATTTACATGCATATACAGGGTGTTTAAAAATACACAGCATAACTTCAGGAATGAGTTCCTCATATGTGGATAATATAAATACTTTATATCAACATAGGTCCAGAAATGCATACTTTCCGAGCTCTTAAGGCCTGTCTATGACATTCAGCTCTTCACATTACCTTACAGTAAATGTTCCACATGTCCACCTCCTGCCGGAATACAGGCCTCAATTCGATGTCTCATTGTCGCCTGAGGACAATCCTAAATTCCTGGCATGTTGCATATTGTCTGAAAACCTGCCACAATTTGATTTTGGAGAGTTGCAACATCATCCACTGGAGATGAATATACCAATGTTTTTAAATGGCCCCACAAGTAGAACTCCAGTGGATTCAAATATGGTGAGCTTGGAAGCCAAGCAATTGGTCCCCCTCCACCTATCCACTGACCAGGGAACTTTCGATTCAGGTACCTGCAGGCAATGAGACTGAAATGTGTGGAAGCACCATCATGCATGAAGTGCAGTTCTTGATGAATGATCAATGGCATGTAGGCCAAGAAAGCTTTGTAATTCTGCCCTGTAAGCCTCTTTGGAGGTATGTGGGGTCCGAATAAATTATCACCACAAATACCAGCCCAAATGTTGATGGAGAACTGCTGCTGGTGATGTGATGAAAGAATCGCACGTGGATTTTCATCTGCCCATAGATGCTGATTGTGAAAATTCTGGATTCTGTTTCTTGTGAACTGTGTTTCATCTGTAAATATCACAAAGTTAGGGAAGTTAAGATCTGTACCACACTGCTGTAAGCACCACTGGCAGAATATTACTTGCCCAGGGTAACCTTGTAGTGTCAAGGCCTGTACACACTGCAGATGGTAGGGGTACAGCAGTTGTTCTCACAGCACTCTCCAGATAGTCACATCAGTGACATCAATTTGCACCGATACCCTTCATGTGCTGATTCCAGGAGTTTCAGTCACAACATCCAGAATATCCTCCTCTGCTTCAGGGGTCATAGATCTGGGTCATCCTCTGTTGGCAACACAAGGTGCCAAATTCCCATGTTCACAAAGGCGGAGATGGATACTTACAAATGTTTTCCTATCTGAACATCTTCATCCTGGACACCCTTCCTGATGCAAACGATGTGCCACCACAGCAATACCATTCACCAAACTGTACATGAAATGCATATCTGCTAGCTGTTTATTTGCGTACATCATCTCAACAACTTGCAGTCACCACACGCTTAACAAACATTTACTGTACACTTCTCCTATTAAGATTTAGAAACTTTGCAAGACTGTGCCCGACTGACTGTAACCATCTTGGGGAGTTCAGAAATTCAGTTTATCATTCAGCAGTTTTAGAAAGCCTAAACTTGGAAGCTATACACTTTTACACCTATATTGATATAAACTGCACAACTGACAGCTTCTCGAGAAGGGCTCAGCTCCATGAGTGAGTAAGTGAGTGGGTGAAGTTGATACAAACTATTTTTACTATCTAATTATGAGGAACATATTCCTGAAGTTATGCTGTGTATTTTTTAAACATCCTGTATATACACTCCCCTTATTTTATAAAAAAAATAAGTACTTTTTATTTTTGTACAAATTTGCATTGACTTTTTTCATGTTAAGAAATACTGTTCCATTTCAAATTGCATGTGTTTTTCAAACATTGAGTTTGATGCTTCATGTATTTATTAGTTGTAGACACTGGACACATGTCCAAAGTGGTGTCTGCCCTTTGGATTCACAAAAATTAATTTTTAAAACAGCCCTGTCCTTCCCATGTGAGCTACATGTCCTGCCCGTCTCATCTGTCATTAGTGGTTATCCTAATACAGTAAGACCTCACTAATTTAGACTCAGTGGGAGTGAAACTTTATCCAAATTAGTGAAAGTCCGAATTATAGAAGTGCTATTGAAAACATGTTCAAAGAATCTATAAAACTGACCTCATATGTCTTCTTAGGAAATAAAACTTCATTTTGAAACTTAGAACACATACCATAAAATAAATTTACTTGTCATAAAATGTTAAGTGTAAGTTCTGATATCAGTCTTAAAATAATTTTAGGCAGCCTACATACTTAGAATTATTGAGACCGTGTTCAAAAACTGAACTTATTTTGGTTTATGTTCCTCTTGTGTATTGTTCTCTTACTACATTTTGCCTCATTTCCCACAGCATGAGGTAACATTTGTTGTATTGTGGGTTACAGACCTCAAAACTGATGATGGAGTCCGAGTTTTCTTTCACTTCTGAAAATCTGAATTCTGCAGATGTTTCTTCTTCCTTCTTGTCTTCCTCATCCTCTTCATTTGAAGCATCCTCTTCAGCTCATTATGCAGTTTCTTCTTGGTGCACTTTGGTATCCTAAGCCCTCCTCATCCTTATTAAGCAGTTTTGAACGTCACTCTGTCACCTCCAAATGCTCCATGAAAATCTTCTGCTATGCCTTCAAGCGCAAACTCTAGTTCTTCATTGCTAATGAGTTTGTTCCATGTATTTTTGAGCATTTTTGTTTCAATATCCCTCCAGCGGCTCGAGGTTGTAATGCGCAAGAAAGAAGTTCTCAGAATTATGATGAATTCCAAATTAGTGGGGTTTCACTACAATTTTCTCAACTAGTGTACTACACAGCACAATTCTGAAACATACTGATGCCACTCACGTCCAACTAGTGCCATGGTTAAGAAAACGTGGATCTATATATCATCTCCCCTATACATCTTCATGGTGTAGTGCTTGATTAGTTAAGCATAGGGACTTTACCTTTTACCCTACCCTCTAACTATGCCATAAACCTTGGCCATTTGCATTCCTGAACCCTACCAGAATATGTAAAATAACAAATAAGCTACCCAGACTGATGAATGATGTCATCTGTTCAAGTAACCTCTGAGCTGTTATCAGGTATGATGACAAAGGTTAATATAATTTGTGGAAGCAGTGGGATGGTTTTCATTACAAGTGCTGCCGATAGTGGTTCTTGAAACCTACAGCAAAATACAGTGTAACTGGTTACCTGGTATCTAAGAATCTGCTATGTCACCTAGGATGACTCCCACACAAGAAACAAAGCAAAATGTAAGATTCTGAGCTTTCATAGTGAATATATGTGCAGCGGGTCCATATCTGCCCTAAAGGAAAGACATTCAGACAGAACGGGCACAATGCCGCAGCCTTCAGCAGAGCCATTAATAAAAAACATAGAAAAACAGAACACAGTTAGGGTAGCATCTTTACTGTTTCAACAGTCAACTTCATATAAGATTATCAGTTAACTGGGAAAATTTAATATAAAGAAGGTCCACATATCTGCTAAGAAGAATTCTCACATACTAAGACCAGTGAAAGTTGCAAAGAATATGAACATCTATGTTTATATCAATTATCATCGATCAAGTTCCAAGAGACCAAAGTACATGGCTCAATACCTCGAAGAAGCAACAGCAATAAAATTACATCCGAATATTATAAACAGAGAGGAAGGGTTCAAACTCAGTAATGCACGGAATCCCAGCACCAGATTATTAGGGCACTCCAACACACACAGATCAGGAAAATCCTAAGAAGACACAGAGGAAAACAAAATAATTGAAAACAGGGATACCAGGTTAAGTGACATGGTGAAAGTTTAGAGTTCGATGGGTGACCACACAGTTTGACTCCACCCTCCTGCTGCACAGTACACCAGTAGGAAGAGGCACTGATTTGAGAGATTGCGAGATATACATATACATCAGCGACATACAGTTATTCACCGCATAGACCCTAATGATAGAGATGGAGAAGATCTCTGAAGCGTTGGTTTTCAAATCTAACATTGACATGGCTGTCTTCTGTCTTTGTATTGGACTTCTGTAAGTGTCCTTCTCATGCAACTGCAGATTCATGTCACTGGAACATCAAACTTCGTATACATGCCATGTAAGGGGCAGTTTACTGCATATGCAAATGAAAGGTGATGTGGGAACTCCCACAGTCCAAGAATTCTCACTCCCAGGGCATATCAAGTCACACTGCGACCAATGGTCAGTCAGTCTCATATTTATACAGCACTCGCTGTCTGGCCCCCTGAAGATCAACACGAGCATGGACCAATCATTGCTCATAATCGCTAGCTCTGCCCAGCAAACATGGTATAAAAGGCAGAGCTCAAAACTGGCTACCATCAGTTCTTCTCCAGTCCACCAATCAACAGACATCATCATGAAACAGCAGCTGTCGTAACTCTCCAGCAACCACACTGAGACAATGGGCTCTGCCAGCGCATGCATCATAGGCCGCTGATCCTACCGGTGTATGCAGCACCGCATTACCGACCAGCGAGACCAGCTTAACAGCCATAAAGAAGACCTGGTCTGCTACAAAGCAGCAAACTATACTAACGCATACACAGTTGAACAAATGGCTCCTTTCAGGGCCAGCAAATCATGTGAACAACATAAGTTCGAATAAACGCCCCTTTTCAGGGCCAGCAAACTTGTGAACAACTTATGTATATATACTGAAAGGGCTTCCCAGCCATCCTGTACATTTGCAAATAATATATACACCTGTTATAGTTTCACGTGGTTGTCTCTTGGACCGTCAACATCCCACAGAACAATTTGGAGATGATAATTCCTCACAATGAAACTCTACCTGGATATGGAGTGCATTCTCTGTGTCAGATGAGAGTTGGGGTTCAGGCATCTTCTGATGCATCTCATTCTGAGTCTCCAACAGGCTGCTTTTTTCCTTCAGTTCTGTTGATAATGCTGCCTCCAACTGTGCCACCTGCAAATAAATAACATCTTCCATTCCATTACAGCTTTTATCTACAATATACATACTGATTCTCAGGACAGATGTAATATCAGAAACAGAACAAAAGTAAATATCCTGTGGGAATCTTCTTAAATCCTTTTGACAAGAGAGCTCATATGCAGTTTGTAAAGGGGAGTCATGTACATAAATCAAGTGTAAACTGTTCCATTTCTCACAAGGTGGCACCTATTCGTATGCATATAAGTACAAACAAACATGCTTATTTTACATACTTAATGCTCTTGTGACATGAGATCCATTGCCAAGTAAGAGCTGTTGCTAGGGAACAGCTCTGTGAACACAGTTTTCCAAAAATGAGAGAATATGTAATAATGGAAGAGATGTTTTCTGTGCAGTCTGTGTCAGGGCTATATAATGAGGACTAGTAGTTCAGTTGTTGGTTGAGTCCTGTGTGGAGGCAGGTTTGAATATCTCCACTGTAGCTGTGTGAGTCGTAGGAGGCAATAAAAAGGGAACCCAATTGCTGGGTGTATAACTAGGTCACCTTGTCCCTGGGGAATATAAATATGGGGACCAGGGCCTCCAGGTTGGGGGATTCTTGAATCTGAGACAGTAAAATATGGTCATGAGTACAGCAAGACCCAGACCCAAGAATGACTGCATTCGCGAGGGCCAGAAGCAATTGTAAATGACAGACCCATCTAGTCAGAGAGGATGTTACATAAGCACTACAACTGCAAGTGTTCAGTTGAAAAAAAATACTAGTCATGGGTCTTAAGGGGCTTGGTGCCAAGATGAACTGACTGGTGGTAAACTGCCAGTTGTACAGTAACTCTGACTCTGAGTTGTTGGTTTAGTCAGTTGAGAGTTACAATTGTGAGAAGCTGTACCTGAGGCTGGGGCCAGTTCGGGACCAAGAGGAAGGGGCACATCCGCTGTTCAACACTGCCACTAAGCAATGGCTAGTGAAGACTGAGAAAACTTTATGTGTGCTGTAGTTACAGTGATCTTTGGTGTGTGTAACTCAGTGAGACTGTCTAGTTATTTGCAGTTACAAGTGTAAGTGTCCAATAAACCCACTTACCAATCCAAACCTCAACTCTAGTCACACTCAGCATCCACCTGGATGGGTTATTATAGTTTCCTTCATTCCTATCCAATCTATCTCTCTTCTGTGCAACTTAGTCCTAGGTCTTGCCATCAGCTATTTATTTCACATCTCTATTTCTGATGCTTTATAAGGAACCCTGTTTTATCCCTGTGTGAACCATTTCCATAACCCTTGAGTCTCAGTTACACCAATTCATTTTATAAAGTTCTGGTATAAGGCTTGCACATGAACACAACATATGTTTTTTTTGTATTGCTAGTGGGGTGGGACTAATCCTTTGTACTGCGGCCACTTCTGGCCTATTGTACCAGCCCCAGATAGGTGAGGGTGATTGTGGACCAATTGGTGGAATGAAGATTGGCAGGGGAAACTGAAGTACTTGGAGAAAACCTGCCCCAGCACCACTTTGTCCACCACAAATCCCACTTGACCAGACCCGGGATTGAACCCGGGCTGCCGCGGTGGGAGGCCAGCGACTAATTGCTTGAGCTATGACGTGGCCAACATATATGTTACTTTCATTTGTCCTCGACTCCTACCTGAACGCGTAGAGCTCTTTCCTGCCCAGCACATAGCTGCAAATGAGCATGATCCTGTGCCTCAAGCTGCAGCTGTTCTATCTGCTGCATAAGCAGGGCACGTTCACTCCGCTCCTTTGATAATATACTCTCCAACTGAGACACCTAATAATAAACATTAATTGTTATGGAATAAAAGTGCTGATCATCACTTTCTCTACTGGACCACAAATAATCAGTTACAATACATGCAAAACAATCAAGTAATTACTCTTCTACTGTACTGCTTGCTTTCAAAAGCAAGCTTGATCCTGCTTCATGCTGGTTTCTTGTGTGACTTATTCCTTGACCCTGAAGATGAAGGAAACATTTTTCACTGACTATACCATGTTGTATGCCAGAAGACAGAACTCTTCTTCACATACAGATCAACTTGTGCATTTGCATGTAACATTATTTCCTAATGGTATGAGGGAGAAAATATGTTATGAAGATGTTGTCACTCAGTTGTATAATTTGGAGAGCAGTACTAAAGGTAAAAGTAAAGCTATCCCTGTAACAGGCTGTGAAGGCCCATAGGGTTGTGAGACTGCCGGGCTCCCACATCTTCTAGAAGTTTCGGTGAATCAGCTCATACCTGTGAACGCAAAGCTACCTCCTGTTCTGAGCCCTGGATCTGTCTTGATGACATCAGTGCCAAGAGGCGTTCATTGTGCTCCTTCAAGGTAGATCGCTCATTCTGGAAACAGAGGTTCACAAGTTAGTAGTTATGTACAATCACCAGTGCATTATTGAAGATTCCATTTTAAGTGCATTTTACAGAGAATAAGAATATAATGCAGGATGTCCCCTGTGAAATACTGATAGTAACATAGTTCATTAACAAATGCTGTGCCTTCATGGATGATGGAAATCCATCACTGATTCTGAAAAACTTGCCACTGAACTCCATCCCTAACCAGTTCAGTCCAGTTCATAAATTGACAGTGCATTTCTGTACAATCCTAACACACCTTTTCCTGGGTAAGAAACCCCTTAGATCCATTATGTAGGTTGATACCAGGTCAATTCTCAGGGTGGTAAAAAAATCACTGTAAATGATTGTAGGGTTTGAACCCACTCCAATTTGCTGTCAGTTGACTTAGTAACTAAATTATCAATGGACTCTAAAAATTACTGTAAGATAAAGGTAAATTTGTCCATGTGCTTAACTAATTAAGCATAGTGCTTAACTAATTAAGCACTATGCCATGAAGGCATATGGGGGAGTGGATGTATAAATCCACATTTGTCTTGACCTCAGCACTAGTTAGAGGTGAGCGGTCAGCTTCATGGCCCTGACACTTTACCACTGGGGAAAGAGCCATTGGGTAGGCGGCTGGGTGGACGTCAGAGCCAGTCTGGACAACGTGGAGAAGAGAAAATTCTTGACCCTACCAGGACTCGAACTCTGACCCCTGTCGTCCAGCCTGTAGCCAGTGGCTATACCAGCTACGCTATTCCAGCTCATACAAATTACTGTAACTGGACTTTATATGAACTCAGTTATCTCTGAGTCTAACTGAACTCAACTTAACTATTCTTGATGCAGGCTGTACCTGAATGTCTCTAATCTGTTCCTGCAACTCCCTAACTGATAGGCAATTTGATGCCACTCCTTGGAGTTCCTGCTGCAAATCTACCACTTTCCGACATTCATTCATCAGCTGATGGTGAAGTTCATCTGCAACACAGTAATCCATAAAGCATATTACATTTACACATTTCAGTTTAAAAATACTGTACATCTTAAAGCTTGTGTGGTATTATTAGTCACTAACAAAGACAGACTTGCATACAGACCAGTAAGACACAGAAGTCTGTGTCCTATATGAGATGCCAGACATCCTCATTAACTGGCACAGAGTATGAGATGGGCAGGGCATATAGCACATATGAGGAGAAGAAGAATGCATATAGGATATTGGTGGGAAAGCCAGAAGGAAAGAAAACACTGTGAAGACCAAGACATAGGTGGGCGGATAATATTAAAATTGATCTTAGAGGAATAAGATGGGCTGGTATGGACTGGATTGATCTGGCTCAAGATAGGGGTCACAGGAGGGTCCTTGCGGACACAGTAATGAACCTTTGGGTTCCATAAAGTGTTGGTAAATTCTTGAGATGCTGACCAACCGGTGGATTCTCAAGTAGGGCTCAGCTCCATGGAGTTAGTTCAGTTTCACGTACCACTGTCTTGCTGTTTAGTCTCCAACTCCTGGCGTAAATGTGCCACTTCACGTTCTAAAACCTGGTTCTTTGCGCTTTGTGCTGCTAGGTGGGCTGACTGCTGCTGAAGGCTGCGTTGCAGTCGAATCATCTCTACATTTTCAGCAACCTTCTGCTGCTGATTCTGAGCTACAGTATTGGCAAGTTCATCCTCCAGCTCTGTAATACGAGCACTGCTTTGCTCACGCTGTGTCTCCAAATCCTGTAACATGCAAGGAGTATTCACAAGAATGTAAAGATGGCTAACTAATTTCATGGAATAGGATCTTCTTCAAGAAAATGAGTTACACAACTTGTCAAGAACATCCCTTCTTTTATAAACACAAAGGACTTCTACTGTGTACACAAAAACCTATTATTTGGTCCTATCCTGTACTGGCTGCACCTAGTCCACAACTTTGCACCATACTTCCTTAGGGCTCATTTTATATTGTCCTCTCCTCTAAACTAGGTCTCCCAAATGATCACTTTCTTTGAAATTCCCCGGACAAAATTCTGAACTCATTTTTAATTTTCCCCTTGCATACTTAATATCCCGCCAATACCACCCTCCTGCTTATTTTCTACATATACGCAGGGCTACAAACATTTTCAAATTAAATATTTTCTCTTATAATGCACTTTAAATAAAAGCTACCCAAATATTTTATCCATACAACATGTCACTTTTGCACTGCAGCAGAAAATCTGTGTGCATGTTTGTGTCAAATACAGATTTTATGATAACATCTAGAAACTACTGTTCTCCCCCCTTCACCCATGGGTTATTTAATGACATTTTCAGTCCCAAAACTGTATTGTGTTAGATGGTAGGATGATAGAGGAAAAATGAATTGGAAAGAAGCATTCATGACTAATCAAGGTGCTATTCTGGAATATACTGGAGGGCCTGAGGAAAATAAAAAAAACTCAGTCTTTGCAGCTGGTGTCCTGGCCAAGATTCGAACTAAGCACCTCCCAAATACAAGTCTAGACTGTTACCTCAGGACCAACCTGTTCAGTGGCTGCTCTGTTTGGGCATCTTTACACCGATATATTTGTATCTGCATCAGCTAATAAATGGCTGAACATAAGTTGCATGTTACTGTTTAGTATGATGCTGTATGGAAATACTGACACATGAAGAATATGACCATTCAATGACTTTAAAAAATTCTTCAGTTATTGACCCTATGATGTGAAAAGGATGGGTTGACCTAAAATGTGACATACAGACTACCTATAAATGAAACACAAGAGATTAGTATTGTCATGTGTAGGGTGGTACATGTGATGAAAATCACAGGTTCTAGTTCAGAGGATTGGATTTATTAGCACTTTCATTACAACCTCTCTTAGTTACAGTCAATGCAGCAATATCACCGATTTACACACTTTACAGTTCACCATTGCATATGCACTAGGATTCTCCATCTTCACTAGTTATCTCCTGGCAAGAGATCTCAATACTAAAACCAGCACTTCAAAACACTATGAAGTCCTCTTGCCATTTCTAGTTCAGTCACTCTAGAACTCAACTGCACTCTGCTGAACTAAAAACTGAACTTCCCGTGGCTGTCTCCTACAAAAAAAAACTCACTTGAACGGAACTGCACTTAAAACTGAAAACTGTTATATCTTTAACTGTCGTTATATAGCCTCCACACCGACCACGCATGGAGAACACAGTCCTATCGTTGCATAAGGAAGACCTCATAGAACATGAGTCACATGATAGCTACCTCACAAGGCCATTTGTGCACTGCCTGTTGCCTAGCAACAAGCTATAAACATTCTTCCTATTGTTGAGAAGGTGTTTATCATGCTGTTGCCTAGCTATACACATTACAGTATCATCCATCATGATACAGACAAGAAAAAAACTATGGAAAGGGAAGGAACTGTTAATTTAACATTCTGTTACATTAAAATGGCTCAAGTAAAAAGTGAGAGGCAATAATGAAAGAGTTCTCCTGCCTGTACCATCATCTCCGATCTTTGCAATTTCAATGTGCTTGTGTGAATTTTCAGTGCACTGTCATATATCATGTTTGGTGATGATTTTGAAGATAATGCGCATCAACTCACCTGTTCCAAGATGCTAATTTGTTCATGCAGTCTCATGGTCTCTTCTGAGAGTTTCTGGTTTTGTGGTGCAACAGCAGCATTGTTGTTTGGAACTTCAGGTGGTCTTTGCTCATCATTAAGTCCCTGATGGTCTTCTACCATTTCTGTACCTAGGGGCTGACGAGGATCCTTATTTCTATGGTCCAGAATATTTGACTGTGAATTTGGCTGGAACATACTAAAACAAACATTAGAACTTTGGACCCCTGAGAACTACAAGCAATTCAAAGTGATCAGAGTCTATGATGAATAGAGTTTGTACACAAACATGCAAACGCAAGTGGAGATGTTTCTTCTTTCTGTCCAGCTTGCCTCTTGCATACGTGCAATTTCAGTTCAGTGCACTCTTAGAACTCTCTCCCTGGAGGTGTGAAGCAAGCAGGAGCATAGAACTGACCAATCACCTCCATCTAGTGATGAAATTTAAGAATGCATGCAGTTTTACCTCTGTTCCCAAGAGAACATCGGTAGGAAGTGACATGTAGTTAGGCCTTCAATGGAACTTTCTTTGTTGTCATATTTCATTTTAAAAGTCACGGGGTGTAAATGTTGACTAAAGTTTGCTCTCGTTCCATTCAAAATTCTTAAAATATTTACTTTAATATTTAGGTGGTCTGCCAAAGAGAAGCCACACAATAAGTCATCTGTGATCAAAAAAGTTTTGGGCACCCCTGCCTTCAACTACTAATATGGAAATGAGACTTTTTTTTCTACATGTTTCCCAAACTGTTCTATATCAACATTAACATCGTGACAGGAGTACAAAAACAAATACTACAGTCTGCAACATCTGAGGGAATTAAGAGGAAAAATTATATCAAAAGTTTCTGACTGGAGATCTGGACATGACAACATAATGTAACAAGACTGGAAAGTGTGCACTGTATAACATAGTGCACAAAACTCCAAACACCATTCTCTGCAGTACACGAAGCTTATTTACAGCCAGGTTACTTACAGAGCCTCAGAAAAACACAAAATGAACTGGATAACTCAGCGAAATTCATATTTCAACAGCATAACAATGTGAAGTATCTAACTACAACAAAATATGAGATCATTTATGGGATACATGGAAGAGTCCATTTATGGACTTAATAATTAAGTATTCTAATATGGCCAAAAACCAAATTACCTGATTAATGTAATGCAAAGACCTCTTACAAACAATTCTGTCTGTAATTTCACATATGACCTTACGAGGGGGGACCCAAAAATAACCGGAAACGACCTGTTGCGCACGCATGCTTTGTAGTTACGAGTTGTGCTGCTAGGTGGTGTTAGCTGGGGGTCTCCCGCGACTGTTAGTGAGCTGGTGTCAGTCTGAGTTAAGTGGTTTGTCTGTGGTGCTCTGTTGTGTGCGTTCCTGTTTCAACCCTTTGGCGATTAGTGAGATGGCCGACCAGAAGCAACAAAGAGTGTGCGTGAAATTGATGAAGATCGTCGAAAGACCATTGACCAACTTTCTGAGGAAACGAACATCTCATGGAGCACGGTCCAGCGAATTTTAACCGAAGGTTTGCACATGAGACGGGTGTCTGCAAAATTTGTTCCTCACTTGCTCGGAGATGACCAAAGAGAAAACCGTGTGAATGTTTGCTGCGACTTGAAGAGTGAAGTGCAGTTTTCCCTAACAGAAAGCAAACTTTCACGCACACTCTTTGTTCCTTCTGGTCGGCCATCTCACTAATCGCCAAAGGGTTGAAACAGGAACGCACACAACAGAGCACCACAGACAAACCACTTAACTCAGACTGACGCCAGCTCACTAACAGTCGCGGGAGACCCCCAGCTAACATCACCTAGCAGCACAACTCGTAACTACAAAGCATGCACGAGCAACAGGTCGTTTCCGGTTATTTTTGGGTCCCCTTTCGTATATAATTAGCCTTCATAACTAGCCAATATCCAGTAATACAAATTCCACCATCAATGCAACTACAATTTATTAACTTTATGTTCCACCACGTTTTGACCATTATAGGGTTATCCTCAGGTGGTGTGATTTACACATGATCACTACTGAATTGTAAAGTGTGTATACATATCTACATGAACAGGCTTAAAATGACTACTTTCTATGTATATTCCAGCATCTAGATGTTGATTTGAATATAAGACATATATGGAACTAAAAGTTAAAGATTAAAAGTTGATTTTAAATTACTTTAAAAGTGCCAACTTTTAATCTTCAAGAAGCAAGAATTGCCTAAGTAGTGGATGAAGTCTATTACTGTACCAGTTTACAAGAAGAGCAATAAAACTGACTGTAGTGATTATTGGGAATATCACTGTTATCAACTTCACACAAAATTTCATCTAATATCCGTCTCTCAAGGTTAAGTTCATATGCAGACGAAATTATTGGGGATCATCAGTGTGGGTTTCTAACAGCGTTCAATCTGTAAGTCCAGATTTTCTTATGTGGATGAATCATGATGTCAATGAGACATGTTCAGAGTTACAAACAAACCTCACATTGGACTGCTGGATCGTATGATGAGAAGTTGAGTGTCAAGGTCAACATTACCTTACATGGATGTCACAAGAATCACATGATGACACATATGCAGATGAATGAATGGGCTTAAAACTGAACTGTGCTAACAATATGGGTACACTTTTCTCCTTTTCTTTTCATGCTAACTTCGCATTTCCAGCATGAAGAGTTTACCTAAGCGTGGTGTCTGTAACATAACACTATGGACACAAGGTGCATTGTTAGAAAGCCAATTGCCCTATACAAAGTCAGAAATTGTCTTTGTATTTTGCTAAATACCTGCAATATTGAAAAGAAAAAACTGCTTAAAAAGATTTATATTTTAACAAAAGTAAAAAAGTAAGTAAAGCTATCCCTGTAATAGGCTGTGAAGGCCCATAGGGTTCTGAGACGTTAAGGGTCCCACATTACCTTGACAATCGGCTCAAAGATGGTGGTAAGGTTGTCAGCCTTACCTGCCGGCTGCACTTCACTCCCCAGGAAAATCATTTTAATTAATTCCTGGTACTCATTTCTGTTAGAGGCTGAGTAAACCCCAGGGCCTAGTGCAGCCGGAAGGATAAGGTCAATTGAAAAAAATCCAATGACCTCATCGGGACTTGAACCCGTGACCTTCCGGCTTGTAGCATGGTACCTTAACCACTACGCTACCGTGTACCCCAAATTTTAACAAAACATACTTTACAGCATGTGCCAATTTTTAGAAAATATCTGACTTCAGCCATAAAGTAGGGGTTACCAATTGAAATAATACAGGGTGTTCAACCAAGGAGGAAACTTTGCAACACCGTTGACCTGGCCCAGTATTCCTCACAGATTGCTGCTGTAACTGTAACTGTAACGGCGCGAGTTTATCAGCGTTAATGATTCATTCTGCTATCAGCGGTTACAGCAGCAATCTGTGAGGAATGCTGGGCCGGGTCAGTGGTGTTGCAAAGTTTCCTTCTTAACTGAAAGCACTGTATTTGAAGATTGCTGTCTCTGGGGATGTGATACATCATCTGGTAGGAAGGTATCAATGTTTCAGAGGAAGCTTCTGCCTTCAGCTTCAGTATCTATCCTGAAGATGGATGCAGTTGGCACCTTTCAACCAAACTACATAGCATCACATCCTAGAATACAATAATCTTCATTTTCACCATCGTAAGAACTTCAAATCGCACAGATTTCAATTTGCTTTGCAGCTTTTAATGTGGGGCCCAACCCATAAATTTAAATGAAATCAGTTCAGTATTTTCTGAGATGAAACAAGCAAATGTGGAAACAACTTCTGTGACTTGGATTTACTTCACACACTTTCTGTAAAGAAAATGTACAGTAGTAATAAACAGGGAACACAGAGTTTGGAAATTGGCAATGTTCTCATCAGATGTTATTCTGAATAATATTCTATGTATTTCATTAAATGGCTCATTGCATATACAGCGCAAAAGAGCTTACTTTTGAGGTTCATTTGATGACACAGCATTCTGCAGCCTAGAACTTTGCATGTAAGTTCCAGTATGAGAACGAGTACAAGATCTGGATGATGACTGTGACTTTCTCATCCAATTACAATGTACTGCAGAATGCATGTATGTATGTTCCACAAGCTGGTTACGTAGAACCATAAGTCTGTCCTGAAGTTGCCCATTGCTCTGCTGCAGCTCACGTATCTGTTGCTGTTGTTCCTCAACCAAAGATTCCAGACCATGATCATGACGCTGAGCTGCTGTCGGTAAGTCACGTTTTTGTTCTGCTACCAGCCGCAGTAGCTTTGTAGCCAGTCTAAAACACAAGAAAGAAGCCATACTCATTATACTGTGGTTCCACTACACTAACTTTCTTTCAGTATTTCTTAATACAGAATTATTTGTAAACAAAATCCTTCAGTTGTCTCTGATGGACCCTGCATATAAAGAAAAGATTAAAACCATACTGACAGATTTGCTGCATGAATCTAAATAGTAGCTTACATGTACAATTTCTTTGTACCTCTTTATCTTCTCCTCCTGCTTATTGCACTCCCTCTTAAGATGATTGTTGTCCACCACCAGGCGCATGTAACGATCTTCCAGCTCCTTACGGTCAAGCTTTGATATGTATGGTGATTGCAGTTTATCTGTGAAGAATTTTATTACAGTTCTACAATTCTGGCACATTACATTTACTAAATCCATGAGCTGGAACATCTCAGTCTCTAAACAGACTGCCTACCTAAGATTCAATTCCTTGCAGGAATAGAAACCTGTCTTCACTACCATGTCCAGAGTGTTTGTGCAGCCCAACCCGGCTACTAATTCTATGGCTACTGAGGGTTCTTTCTGTGGTCAGTAAAGTGGCTGAAAGCAACCCCTCACATTCCACTCTCACATATGTCTGCATAACATGGTACTCAAGTACAGGGACACATAATAACTCTAACAAGAAGTCAGTTTCACCTACATCACTGAATTTAATAGAATAACATCATGGAAGGCACATGCTTATGTGCAATTATTAGTTACGGTAAAATAAAAAACAAATTATATTAAGAATCCAAAATATTATTTACCATGTACATGAATAACATTTTATAATACCGAACTCCTCAGTGTTATACTGTGCTACATAGAGTGAAATCCCCATTTATCATTTGTTTTGGATATAACATTTCTATATCTTAATCTGAGAAAAATCTTCAGAGAAGCGCAAAGAGAATTCAAACACAAAATGACACTCATCATTAATTACAAGTATTTGCTATAATCTAACAACAAAATAAGCAAACACATGTTATGCAAGTCAACAAACAGCAGAAAATACTGCACGATGTGTCTAACAGCACAGCAATTTCCACTTAAGTCGACTTCTTTCCTTTTATGCCCATGTCCTACTTTTAACAAAACATCTATAATATATGTGCAGAACATTCATAATTAAAGTTCATCTGAGAAAACAGCAGATCATAACATCAAGCAAGGGACTACTAACATCACCCAAGAAGAATTAAAATATGTGTAAGGGAATGATTCTGGAAATGAAGAATATGTACAATAAAACTGTGTCTCACAGGAATGTTACTGGTTTGTTCATTTGTGTGTTATTTAATGATGCTTTTGAGTATGCAAACCGTAGAGCACGAGACAGTACAATGACTGATAAATTGGAAAGGATCTGGAAGGAAACAGTAATAGCCAATCTGAGGTCCTATCTTCACATTTGCTTGGAGGGACTAATTCAGGCTAGCCAATATTTGAACCAAGTATGTCTTGAATATGAGTCTAGACTGCCACCCCTAAACATGTGACTAACTAAAATGTGCAGACAGGTCTGCATTCCCATCTGTATGGACTGGCAGCTTTATAATCACTCAGTCAGTACAGTGCTATAGGACCTGCCGATCAGCTTTCCAATGGTACCAGAGCAGCCAGAGAATGAAACTGACCACTCACCTCCAACCCCTGCTGAGACTAAAAATTCATGAAGCTCTCCAATCGTCATACAACTTCATGGCACTGTACTTAATTAACACATGCACTACCAATCCTGTCACCTGATGGGCTCAAGCTCGCCCATACAGTCACACAGTGGGCTGCCACCACTGTGTGTAGAAGTGCATGGAGACTTTATGGGCAGATTATTGATGCTTCAAACACAAAGCAACTGCTGATTACTTTTCACTTATTATCTCCTATTTTCAGGGGGCATGTGTTAACATAGTTGGTTGAGGCACTATGCCACAAGCCGGAAGATCGCAGGTTCATATCCAAATGAGGTCATCTTTTTTTTTTTTTTTTTAATTTACCTAATCCTTCCAGCCACACTATGGCTCTGGGGTCAACTTAGCCTCTAAGAGAAATGAGAACCAGGAATCTTCCTAGGGTAAAGGGCAGCTGGCATGTAAGGTTGACAACCTCATTGCCATCTGTGAGCCAACTGTCTACAAAATGTAGCAACCTTGACGTCTCACAACCCCATAGGCCTTCATGGCCTGTTACAGGAATAGCTTTACCTTTTACCTTCTCCTGTTTCTTTCAAATGTGGTGAGGTCAAAATACAATCTTAGTGAAAAATGACTAATATAGCAGGTAAAATTCTGGTATGGGGAATAGTAATGAATATGTAAATCACAGGGACAACTTGACGTTACTTTAAACTCTTTAGTATAGATGTCTAGACTAACACACAACTGCATTATTGTCTAGTAATGATTACCTCTTTCACTATTAAGTGAGAAAGTTGACACATTTCTGTGTCTCTCATACAACATTCCATCCTTTACAGGCAGAAGGTCTCTCTCTGGATCATTCGCCATGTTTCAGTATACATGGCCAGCATTTATTTATTTATTTATTTATTCGTTACGTTGTTTAATGATGTTTTTAGTATCCTGACTATATCGTCAGAATTTATTTCTTCAGCACTAACTTATATCCAGACTGGATATGCTGATCCTCTCCAAGCCTCCTTCATTATGTATATAGGAAACAAGAGGTTAAACAGCCTCTATCTAGACACTAGGTCTAAAATCAGTGCAACTCTGTCTCCACTCTTACTACACTTTCATGGCACTTCTCAAGTTTCAACTGCACATGCTTTCCAGTTTCCCATATCTCTCACATTTGAAGAAGTTAAACTGGTAAATATTTACCTCAAAGTCCTGAATAAAGTAAGACTCTTAAATAAGTAATGCTGTATATAACACATACTGCAAATAAAGAGATACTAAATTTGTAAACTGAAGGTAAAAATGCCCAACATTACCACTTTATTCCACCAAGCCACTCCATATTTGTTTACGACGAAGGCAGAGCCACCTGGTGACACATTGTTGATAATTGCTGTGAAGTGATGTGGCGGTATATGGCGGTAGATGGCGGTGTGTGGTTGTTGCTGTCGGTTACGGTATCATGGGGGGTTCAGCGAGCGCATATTTGCAATGATTACGATAATCTGCGGAAGGGAGGGGATATTGGCGGGAAGGCCGAGAATCAGTTCATACTCCCTTATAATAATTTAAATTACTCGTTCTTGTTTCAACATGAATTTGTCATGTTTAGGAGATTTTAATTATCCAGTTCCATATATATTGTGAGTGGTATTTAGTCTCCTTGTGAACATCACTATATCCATCCAAATGGTATGAAAAAAAACATGTTTCAAAGTATGTCAGTGGATTAAATTGTCACTGAACTGCCTTAGCAATTTAGTGCTAGATACAGTGTCATGGATTAATGTTAAATTTGATTAAAGATGCATTTTTTCCTGCACACATTAATAGAAAACTATTTTATAATCAGTACCCTCTGTTTTAAATTTACTGCTACAGGAAGACATCTTCATTTCACACAAAAACTGAGTAAACATTTTGTCAAGGGGGAGGTTTATAACAAAAAGATTGAATAATACAACTAAGAACATTATAATAGATGCATGCCATGTTCTTCCTCCTCATCCTCCATAAGGACTGGGTGCTTTGTAGTCCATTCTGAATGTAAGCTCATTCTCCGATTGTCTTCCAGGTATTCGTCATGTGCAAATTGCACAATACAAGATTGTGTTTAATGTGAACCAATGGTCACAGCAAATGTAAAATAGAACGAGATGTTGCAATGCCGGAACCTACCATACAGAATATTATAAAACACACAGGAAATAAAAGAAAAAGGAATTTGAAGAGTTCTTTAGGGCTGTAGAATTCCTAAAGAAAAAAATTATAGATGCTGACCCTAACCTTGATTGAAGCATGCAAATTTGCTGAGATGTGGATAAAGCACTCTGCATCTACCAGCACATGTCCGAAGGTTTAAAGAGAGAGAAAACAGTTCAGTCTATGCTGCTAAAATGTTTCAAAAGACAGAAAAGATGTTTTCATCTGTGTAAGCTTACCTTTACGAATGATATTAATAATTTGTTTTTATTTTGTTCTCTTAACTACTGTGACTTTGTTCACAATAAATTTAAATGATAAACATATAACAACTTATGTTTATAAAATTTTTATTACCTATTTTTGAGTTGGAACCAATTACCATTCTTTACACATAATTATAAATTTAAACAGTGCAAATTCAAATAATGTGATCACTTCATGGGATTCATCATCTGCACTGAGACCTACCTGTAATGTGAAAAGTGTATTGTCACTGTTAGAAAGACGACGACTTTTTATGCAGCTTCATTGAGGCTTCAAACAAATATTTGTTACATCATCACACTAATCTGATATTAAAAGTCCTTTTGATACTTCTGTTTTAAGTGAAATTAAAGCAAGAAAAATGAGTTGGGTGAGATCTGTACTGTTCACCACGAAGGCAAGAAATGGCTACTAAAAATATGGAGAAAAACTTTTCATAAAATCATTTGAAAGATCGTTGAATAACTGAAATATTCTCCCAAATATGCCGAATAACTTGGAGAAGTACTTAACGGGACAGGGCACTGGACTGAGGATTTTGTGGCCATAGTAATGAACCTTTAAGATTCATAAAGGCAGGACATTTCATTGTAAGATATAAGATTCCCATGACAGTGACTATGAAGAGTACTTCCTCCTGCCTACCCTTAAAAATGGAGGAAACAAGTATCTCCAAAACACTACAAAGGAATTCCTGAACAAGGAAGCAGCATATTCTTCTGAAACATTGGTACTTATCTACCAAACTTTGTGGCATCATATTTCAGAAGACACTAATCTTTTGAGAAATTCTTGACTAGGTTAACTGCTCAAGGAAGATGCTGAAGAACAGAAATTGTGCCTACAAAAATTAATTTAATATTAATCTTTCATGACAATGCTCCTTCTACAGGAAAAATGTAAAGCTATCCCTGTAATTGAATGTGGAGGCCCATAGGGTTGTGAGACATCGAGGCTCTCACATTTTCTAGACAATCAGCTCACAGATGATGGTGAGACTGTCAGCCTTATGGACCAGCTGCACTTTACCCCCAGGGCCATAGAGCGGCAACTTTCCAGCTTGTAGCATAGTGAGTCAACCAACTACACTACCACATGTCCCATATTTCCTCCTATTACTATATGTAAACACAAGTGAAACGATTTTATCCAGTTTTATAGAATTAAGAAAATAGTGAGTTCCATGAGATCGGTTATCATAATATATTGTTTAAAACACATCATTAAATTCTATTAATAATTTCAGTAGAATGATTAAAAGGTCTAAGGGAACATGCAATCTATAGTTTAATTCACAACTTCTAAAAAACCAACAATATTACAGACATAACATTTATGATAATATTTAATATACTGTACAACAGAAAATAACAGATACAGTTGAAATGACAGCGCTATACATTGAAATCTGTCCTCTCACAACCAGAGAGTTTGTGTCTGTATAAATATTTTCTATTACACACCTCCAGTGGGCATTTCTACAGCAGGTGCAAGATATTACCAGCCCACTATAAAAGGAAGCACTCAAGTATGTGGACCACAATATACACCTTGGTATTGCTTGTGTGTGTGTTTTTTTTAATTTAAGGTCCACTTGAAACTAGACTGAGATTTTGTTTATCGTTACAATACAGTAAGCATAGTAACTACACTTAGCACCTACTTTAACCGTCAATAAATTGAAATTTTGCATACACTATACTTATAAATAGCTTCCAGTTCAGATAAACAATAATTAATATTCTACTGGGAGATAATATAGATACGACACAGAAAAGGACAGAAACTTTAACTGATGCTAGTAAGGAGGAGAGTGAGTTTGGGTAGTGCTTGCTGCCATTCAGTCCAGAACCTTTTGTCTTTCTGTCTACTGTCTAAGAATGTAAATATTAGAACATATAAAAGTATAACTTTGGAATATAGGGTGTTTGAGAACAGGGTGCTTAGGAGAATATTTGGACCAAAGAGAAATGAAGTGACAGGAGACGGGATAAAACTGCATAAAGAGGAGCTTCATAACTTGTACTCTTTGCCAAGTACAATTAGAATGATCAAGTGAAGGAGGATGAGAGAGGCATGGCATGCATCATGAATGGGGGCATATAGGACATTGGCAGGAAAGTAAAAGAAGAGAGACCACTAGGAAGACTGAGATGTAGGTGGGTGAACAATATTAAAATGGATCTTAGAGAGATAGGATGGGGTGGTATGAACTGGATTTATCTGATCAGGATAAGGACCACTGAAGGGCTTATGTATGTGGAGATGAGCCTTTGGATCCCATAAAATTTTTGGAGGTTCCTGAGTAGCTACACAACTGGCAGCTTCTCAGCTCCATGAAGTTAGTTAGATACTTTTAACCGACTAAATGGGATGTGTTTTTGTGGATGCAGGAACAGAATTACTGTTGTTTAGCTGCAATCTATGCTCAACAGAAATAACTTACAGCTGAATCAAGTAAACTTTCCCAATACTTCTGTGAAATTATTCACTGTCTTAACTAAAATGGGATACTATGCATTTATGTTTGTTTACTGTTCACTATTGCATATATCAAATACTCTCTAACAGAATTCACAGGGTTGATGTCCTGAGAAGTATGGTCACTGGAAAGCCACACCTATTACATAAGGTGGAGAGAATATGAGATCACATAGACAATGTATTTCACAGCAACAGAGGTCAAATAGTAAACAGACTGTAAGTCTTCCATTACAGGGTACTGAAACATTTTTGCACTGATTACTAACGGAATTCTGAAAATGTACAGGAAATTACACAATTATTTGGTTTAACTAGAAGACAACAAATCAATAACATAATTTTCTGACAAAGTGCATATCAGTACAGACTTTAATTTTACTGGAATTAAAAAATATTGTCCAGACTGGGAAATCAATCTGCAACCCTTGGTTTATTGGCCACACATGTGACCTAAACCTTTTCCTTGGATGGGTGAAGAGTTCACTTTCTGAACTTTCAACTCTAATCGTATTTACTTCTGTAATGAACCTCTCTGCTTTTGGGCATGAAACAGTACATGTATGAAGTTAATACAGGTCAACTTTTCATTTATCCACAGCTATGATAAATGCCGACCATTTGAAGCAGTCAAAGGGATATACAAAACAAACACAAATTAACTGTTTAATGAAGGACAGGGTCTCTTAAGTTTCCCTCATGCAGAAAAGTCTCCTTTTCTCAACAGTGGCCGATATTAGTGGAGTTTATGTTTGGCAGTACTTCTTACTATGGTCAATCTCACCTTTTTCATAGGGGATAAGTCCCTGCTTGAATGAACAAGTATGTGCATAGCCCTTAAAAGATTAATGCTGAACATTTTGTTATGAAGAGAATAATGGGCTCGGTGTGGCAACTATACATTCTCTTGCACTACCAGTGCTGTTCCCTTTAATTGGCTATTTAAAACAACAATTTGATAACATATACTTTGTAATATGTAACAGCATATCATCAGTATCTTACTACAAATCTTTAGTAACAGTAGCCAGTCAGCAGGGAGGAAAAGGTTAGCATAAGTTAGATCTCGCTGTATTTATGTACCACATAAGTTAAGGACCCTTCTGTATTATCACAAACATTGTCCTCAGTCTATGTTTCAAGTGCGCATCTTGCTGAGTGCTAAGTGAATAGAACATGTGCGTACCTATGCTACAGGTTGGTCCATCCTTATGACAAGCAGATGTCCAGACCTAGAACTATCACAGCTTGGTGCAACCTAAATCTATATGCACATTACAGTCCATTTATGATACAATTTCAGTTGTAATTTATAATTATTACTATCATTATTCACACATTTACATACCTAGTGTAGTCAAGAGACCAGCTGCAAACCCATCTAACATAT